GTGGCGGTGTGACCTCTGTTGCGGTGTGACCTCTGTGTGGCGGTGTGACCCCTGTGTTGCTGTGTGACCTCTGTGTGGCGGTGTGACCCCCTGTGTGGTGGTGTGACCCCTGTGTTGCTGTGTGACCCCTGTGTTGCTGTGTGACCCCTGTGTGGTGGTGTGACCTCTGTGTTGCGGCGTGACCTCTGTGTGGCGGTGTGACCCCCTGTGTTCTGGCGTGACTCCGCCAGGCCGGTATGGTGAGCGTGGTGAGCCGTGTGGACGGCTCCATGTTGGTGAGTGGCCGGCGCCACAGCTCGGACGACGTCGTGGCTACGGTGCTCGCTGTGGAGCCCGGCAAGTTCGTCTTCCGGGGGAGGCACGTACACACACACGCACGTACACACAACAACCGACGTCACCACGACGCTTGTGCCAGGCTATGTGCATGTTGAGGCCACGTGAAGTGTGGAACGCCCGCTGGCAGGAGGTCATGGGGCAGACCCAGCAGGTGCCACGGGTCGACTGACTGAGACGAGTGGCTGATGCCCCACCTGTGCCCCCTACTGTGCCAACTTTCTGTACTTTAGCCACCCGGCGCTCCGCTCGTTGTTGTGAGCGTCGCTCCTCTGCCCTCCGTTGTTGCTGGAGGGCGACTGCCTCCAACTGCCCAGTAGCGTCCTTCACAAGCCTCCTCCACAGAGGCCGATCTTATCACCGTTGGTACCGGTCATCGGCAAGGCCATTCAGCTCCACCACCTCCTGTATCACTCCATTTTTTCTCTAGCCCATGCCGCGCCCGTTTAGCCCCCTCGATCCGGCCAAAAAAAAATCAGTTTAGGCATGCGGTGACTTGGCATGTGGGCTACATGACCCAGCCAACACAGCCCTGCCTGCCAAAGGAGCTCACCGATGGGACTTTGTCCAGATCTTTCAAGGATTTGTGAACTCCTCACACAATCCAGCCTGGTTAAACCCAGGATGGGTCGTAGGCAGGCCAGCCTAAATGTTTCTAACCGGCAAAGATGCTCCATTAGGGGGGTCCACGTTTCGCAAGCTTAGGAGAAGGGAGGGAATGACTGTGGCCGAGAAGACCTGAAGCTTCGTGCGGAGTGACAGACCAGGTAGCTTCCACGCAGCGTTACGCAACTGATGAGAAGAATGCCGCTCGACTGATTCGGAGTGAGATATCTGCTGTCAAACCGGAGCCGGTCATAAGCACACTGCCGAGGTATGGGAAACTCTCCACTCTCTCCACAACTGCCCTATCACCAATTGGGAGTTGTGGGGGTGGAGTGTCCAATGGTATAAAATACCCAGGCAGTTGCTTAGTTTTGGTGGGGCTGATAGTGGCAAGCTCCAGGTTCAGCACCAGCGCCTCTAACTCCTCCTCGATCAGCCTCCCATTGTATCTGTACCAGATATAAATGCCTTTAGTAGAGCCATCGAAGGCTTCACGAACTACGTGGTCGTAATAGATGTTAAATAATGTGGGAGTCAGAGGACATCTCTGTCGCACTCCAAGGTGAACAGGGAATGGTTCCGACTCCCGGCTGCCACGTAGTTTTACCTGGGCCCGCTCACCATCATGGAGGTCCTTAATGATCGTGAGCAGAGGTTCAGGGACTCCAAAAGCACGAAGAACAACCCAGAGCCCAGGCCTACTGATCGTATCATAGGCCTTGACCAGGTCAATAAAGCAGAGATATAGGTCTTGTTGGAATTCTCTACACTTCTGCTCTAGCAGATGAACATAAAATATGGCATCTGTGCAGGACCGCCCTTTCCTGAAACTGCATTGGGGCTCTGCAAGCCTCTCCCCAGCGTGCCTGCTAAGGCGATGTTGAATAATCCTTGCCAGGCCCTTTCCCAGCACACTGAGGAGTTTGATGCCCCTGTAGTTGTTACAATCTGTGCGGTCCCCCTTCTTTAAGAGGGGGACCACCAGGGCATCCTTACAATTCTGCAGAACCGATCCAGTGGTCCAGACTGTTGTTATGATGAAGGGCAGTCTGTGCACAAACGCAACCCTCCCTCAGCATTTCACTTGGGAGATCATATTTGCCCAGTGCCTTTCCTGGTCTCATACTCTGGCTCGCATTAAGTACTTCCTCAACAGATGGCACCTCAGTGCCGTGGGGGGAGGGCAAATTTCGATTGGCGTTTGTAGCCACCACAGCATCAAAAGGGGGCTCTGGATGGGTGCGAGAGGCTGGTAACCCCTCCACCTGCAATTAGTTACCACTAAACCACGAATTAAATCTTTAATTAAGCTTGTGCCGGAGGCCATGGTGGAAAAGGTGTCTATGACGTCCCCTGGCCAAAACCCCATTTGGAGAAGCTAGGAGATTGAATCTTTACCCTCGGAGCTCCTCCAGAAACAACAAAAAAACCACTGCGGGTGGCCACGTGGAATGTTCGAATACTCACTGTGGAGGAGAGGCTGCCACTACTCTGTCGGAAGCTGGACCGGTACCGCCTGGATCTCTGTGGTATTCAGGAGGTCCGGTGGACCATGAGGGGTGGACAGTCCTCTACTCGTGGCAGGAGACTGCCAAACAACAGGGATATGAGACTAGGCTCGAAGGAAAGCTGTCTCGGGTGTGGACCAATCAACTTCAAGGACAGTGCACATTATCAGAGTTATGTCTTTTGTTTGTATTTATGACTGCAGGTATTGCGGTCTATGCAAACATGACTCCTTGCAAAAAGGTGTCAGTTTTGTTGCCAGATAGAAGGGTAAAGAACCAATTATCATATTTTTACTGGCAAATGAGGTCCCCATAGTGTAGATGCTTGCCCCGAGCTCTCATACTCTGATGGTGCATTGTCCTTGAGTTGTGCGCCTTTTGGCGTCATCTGGTCCAACCCATATGAGACTAGGCTCGAAGGAAAGCTGTCTCGGGTGTGGACCAATCAACTTCAAGGACAGTGCACATTATCAGAGTTATGTCTTTTGTTTGTATTTATGACTGCAGGTATTGCGGTCTATGCAAACATGACTCCTTGCAAAAAGGTGTCAGTTTTGTTGCCAGATAGAAGGGTAAAGAACCAATTATCATATTTTTACTGGCAAATGAGGTCCCCATAGTGTAGATGCTTGCCCCGAGCTCTCATACTCTGATGGTGCATTGTCCTTGAGTTGTGCGCCTTTTGGCGTCATCTGGTCCAACCCATATGAAGACTAGGCTCGAAGGAAAGCTGTCTCGGGTGTGGACCAATCAACTTCAAGGACAGTGCACATTATCAGAGTTATGTCTTTTGTTTGTATTTATGACTGCAGGTATTGCGGTCTATGCAAACATGACTCCTTGCAAAAAGGTGTCAGTTTTGTTGCCAGATAGAAGGGTAAAGAACCAATTATCATATTTTTACTGGCAAATGAGGTCCCCATAGTGTAGATGCTTGCCCCGAGCTCTCATACTCTGATGGTGCATTGTCCTTGAGTTGTGCGCCTTTTGGCGTCATCTGGTCCAACCCATATGAGACTAGGCTCGAAGGAAAGCTGTCTCGGGTGTGGACCAATCAACTTCAAGGACAGTGCACATTATCAGAGTTATGTCTTTTGTTTGTATTTATGACTGCAGGTATTGTGGTCTATGCAAACATGACTCCTTGCAAAAAGGTGTCAGTTTTGTTGCCAGATAGAAGGGTAAAGAACCAATTATCAACAGGGAGTGGCTCTTCTTCTGAACACGCACGCACGCGCACGCACATGCATAAACACACACGCACGTACACATGCACACACACACGCACGCACATGTGCTCGCACACATGAATGAGCACGGACACACACACGTGAGAGCAGTGGTAGTGTCCTGGTTAGCATGCTGCGCGAGGAACCTGCGAACCCAAGTTCGATTCCCGCTCACGGCCAACACCAGTGGCAATTATTTGACTGGTCCTGGGCCTCGCCTAGGGCTACTCAGCCCCAAATGAGTACCTGGTACGGTGTGTAGTAAACATCATCACTGGCGAGACAAAGGCGGTCAGGCGTGGTGCTGGCCACCACCCACCCCTTCGTGCAACGTGCTGGCCTTCATAGGTGCTACTCGCTAACCGTACTTGCCCCGACGGTCTGTTAAGGCTACATGGGGGACCTTTGTCTTTGTGCGTGCGTCAGGATCGCAGTGTTCTCCATCACCGTTCTGCATGACGAGCGGATCGTGGTGGTGGCCGAGCAGCGTCCGGACGCATCGGAGGACGACAGCTTCCAGTGGATGACTCGGGTTCTGCAGGTGAGCGAGTGTGAGCGAGTGTTTGTGGATGACCTGGGTTCTGCAGGTGAGTGAGTGTGAGCGAGTGTTTGTGGATGACTTGGGTTCTGCAGGTGAGTGAGTGTGAGCAAGTGTTTGTGGATGACCTGGGTTCTGCAGGTGAGCGAGTGTGAGCGAGTGTTTGTGGTTGACCTGGGTTCTGCAGGTGAGTGAGTGTGAGCGAGTGTTTGTGGATGACTTGGGTTCTGCAGGTGAGTGAGTGTGAGCGAGTGTTTGTGGATGACTTGGGTTCTGCAGGTGAGTGAGTGTGAGCGAGTGTTTGTGGTTGACCTGGGTTGTTCTGCAGGTGAGTGAGTGTGAGCGAGTGTTTGTGGATGACTTGGGTTCTGCAGGTGAGTGAGCGTGAGCGAGTGTTTGTGGATGACTTGGGTTCTGCAGGTGAGTGAGTGTGAGCGAGTGTTTGTGGTTGACCTGGGTTGTTCTGCAGGTGAGTGAGTGTGAGCGAGTGTTTGTGGATGACTTGGGTTCTGCAGGTGAGTGAGCGTGAGCGAGTGTTTGTGGATGACTTGGGTTCTGCAGGTGAGTGAGTGTGAGCGAGTGTTTGTGGATGACTTGGGTTCTGCAGGTGAGTGAGTGTGAGCGAGTGTTTGTGGATGACCTGGGTTCTGCAGGTGAGTGAGTGTGAGCGAGTGTTTGTGGATGACTTGGGTTCTGCGTGTGAGCGAGTGTTTGTGGATGACTTGGGTTCTGCAGGTGAGTGAGTATGAGCCAGTGTTTGTGGATGATCTGGGTTCTGCAGGTGAGTGAGCGTGAGCGAGTGTTTGTGGATGACCTGGGTTCTGCAGATGAGTGAGTGTGAGCGAGTGTTCGTGGATGACTTGGGTTCTGCAGGTGAGTGAGTGTGAGCGAGTGTTTGTGGACGACTTGGGTTCTGCAGGTGAGTGAGTGTGAGCGAGTGTTTGTGGATGACCTGGGTTCTGCAGGTGAGCGAGTGTGAGCGAGTGTTTGTGGATGACCTGGGTTCTGCAGGTGAGCGAGTGTTTGTGGATGACCTGGGTTCTGCAGGTGAGCGAGTGTGAGCGAGGTGCGGGGCGGAAGCGTCATGCCTAGCGCGCGCTGCACTCAGAACCTGACGACCCGAGTTCGATTCCCGCTCACGACCAATAACGGTGGCGAATCTTTAACCGGTCCTGGACCTCCCCAGGTGTGGTGTGTTAGACATCACCCCTGGGGCGACCGGGCGTGGTGCTGGCCACCCACGAATCTCGTGCACCGTGCCGGCCTTCACAGGCGGTGGCGCTACTCGCCAACAGCACTCGCCCCGACACTGTTGAAGGCTACACGGGGGACCTTTGTCTGCGCGCGTGCGCCCGCCCGCCCATGCGGGCCGCACCACCGCCTCCGAAGACCGTCGCGGCCTTAACGGGCGCTCGCCGACTCCCCGCAGGCTGTGGACGGTGTGCACCAGGTGGGCGTCTACTGCCTGGCGCTGCTGCCCGCAAACTCGCTGCCCAAGACGCCGCTGGGTGGCATTCACCTGTCGGAGGTGCGCCAGCGCTTCCTGGAGGGGACCCTGCACCCCTGCAACGTGCTCGTGTGCCCGCACACCTGCGTCACCAACCTGCCTAAGCCGCGGCAGAAGCAGCCAGGTGTGGCTCCCGGGCCGGGCGGCATTGCACGTGCGCTCGCAAGCTCACCCGCTCCCTTGCCCGCCTCGCCCGGTCAGCCACTCGTGTAATGCCTGGCGTACCCCCCCCCCTTCCTATCGTGGTACATTCCCCTTATCCTCCCCCTGCCCCCCCATTCACCCCCCTTACTATCGTGGTACATTCCCCCCCTCCCAAATTATCCGATTGTGGTACATTCCCGGAGGCCTGGCCCATTCATGGTGTCTTTATGCATTCCCTATGCACCCCCCCCTCACCTCTTCCCCCTCCCCCGCCCCATCCTTGGTACATTCCCCTTGTGCCTCCGCTCCCCCCCACCCCGGCTCGTCCCACGTGCCAGTGGATGTGGGCCCGGCCTCCGTGATGGTCGGGAGTCTGGTGGCCGGGAAGAGAATCGCGCAGGCGAGCGGCCGCGACCTGGGCCCCTGCGACGACGACCCCACCAAGAAGGTGACGCCCGCCGCCACTGGCGTCATCACGGCGCGCGAACACACCGGCTTTGCAGCCATCATCACGAGCCATACCACTTGGACCCACGACTCTGCAGCCATCATCACGAGCCATGCCACTCGGACCCACGACCCTGCAGCCATCATCACGAGCCATGCCACTTGGACCCACCACTCTGCAGCCATCATCACGAGCCATGCCACTCAGACCCACGACCCTGCAGCCATCATCACGAGCCATGCCACTTGGACCCACCACTCTGCAGCCATCATCACGAGCCATGCCACTCGGACCCACGACCCTGCAGCCATCATCACGAGCCATGCCACTTGGACCCACGACTCTGCAGCCATCATCACGAGCCATGCCACTCAGACCCACGACCTTGCAGCCATCATCACGAGCCATGCCACTCGGACCCACGACCCTGCAGCCATCATCACGAGCCATGCCACTTGGACCCATGACTCTGCAGCCATCATCACGAGCCATACCACCTAGACCCACGACTCTGCAGCCATCATCACGAGCCATGCCACTCGGACCCACGACTCTGCAGCCATCATCATGAGCCATGTCACTCGGACCCACCACTCTGCAGCCATCATCACGAGCCATATCACCTGGACCCACGACTCTGCAGCCATCATCACGAGCCATGCCACTTGGACCCACGACCCTGCAGCCATCATCACGAGCCATGCCACTCGGACCCACCACTCTGCAGCCATCATCACGAGCCATGCCACTTGGACCCACGACCCTGCAGCCATCATCACGAGCCATGCAACTCGGACCCACCACTCTGCAGCCATCATCACGAGCCATGCCACTCGGACCCACGACCCTGCAGCCATCATCACGAGCCATGCCACTCGAACCCACCACTCTGCAGCCATCATCACGAGCCATGCCACTTGGACTCACGACCCTGCAGCCATCATCACGAGCCATGCCACTCGGACCCACCACTCTGCAGCCATCATCACAAGCCATGCCACTCGGACCCACGACCCTGCAGCCATCATCACGAGCCATGCCACGCGGACCCACCACTCTGCAGCCATCATCACGAGCCATGTCACTCAGACCCACGACCCTGCAGCCATCATTACGAGCCATGCCACTCCCACCCACGACCCTGCAGCCATCATCACGAGCCATGCCACTCGGACCCACGTCCCTGCAGCCATCATCACGAGCGATGCCACTCGGACCCATGACCCTGCAGCCATCATCACGAGCCATGCCACTCGGACCCACCACTTTGCAGCCATCATCACGAGCCATGCCACTCGGACCCACGTCCCTCCAGCCATCATCACGAGCCATGCCACTCGGACCCATGACCCTGCAGCCATCATCACGAGCCATGCCACTTGGACCCACCACTTTGCAGCCATCATCACGAGCCATGCCACTCCCACCCACGACCCTGCAGCCATCATCACGAGCCATGCCACTTGGACCCACCACTTTGCAGCCATCATCACGAGCCATGCCACTCCCACCCACGACCCTGCAGCCATCATCACGAGCCATGCCACTTGGACCCACCACTTTGCAGCCATCATCACGAGCCATGTCACTCGGACCCACGACCCTGCAGCCATCATCACGAGCCATGCCACTCAAACCCACGACCCTGCAGCCATCATCACGAGCCATGACACTCGGACCCACGACCCTGCAGCCATCATCACGAGCCATGCCACTCGGACCCACGACTCTGCAGCCATCATCACGAGCCATGACACTCGGACCCACGACTCTGCAGTCATCATCACGAGCCATGCCACTCGGACCCACGACTCTGCAGCCATCATCACGAGCCATGCCACTCGGACCCACGACCCTGCAGCCATCATCACGAGCCATGCCACTCGGACCCACGACCCTGCAGCCATCATCACGAGCCATGACACTCGGACCCATGACTCTGCAGCCATCATCACGAGCCATGCCACTCGGACCCACGACCCTGCAACCATCATCACGAGCCATGCCACGCGGACCCACGACCCTGCAGCCATCATCACGAGCCATGTCACTCGGACCCACGACTCTGCAGCCATCATCACGAGCCATGCCACTTGGACCCACGACCCTGCAGCCATCATCACAAGCCATGTCACTCAGAACCACAAATCGAGGCCTAGCCCTGCAGGCATCATCACGATCTTGCCCCGGTAGCCATCAGCCACACCTCCAAATGATCACGGTTGGCTACGTACGGTGCGAAAGAAGTTAAACGTACATACGTACATACATCATAATCAACAAGTGAGTAATCCACGGCTCGAGATGCTGCCCTCCACTTACCATCGTGGGCGTTGGCTCTCTGGCACGTGGCTCTCTGGTCTCACAACGCAGATCCCCGCACGGAGAGAGTTGCTCACTCTGCACCTGCCCCCCCCCCCGCCCTCTCTGCCCCCCACCCAGAGTCTCTACCTCTCCGAGGTGCTGCAGTGGAGAGCCGTCACCACTCCAGACCACGTCATCTTCATCCTGCTCAACGCCAAGGTGTGCCGCTCGCAGCACTGTGGCTGCGTCTTTAACATCCCATTCACGAGGATGTGGTACAGCGTCGGGGCCCTGCCGTTGGTGGCGATGCGGTTGATGATGGTTCCAGCGACGCCTTCCAGGAGGAGGAAGAATGTCAAGGCCAGGAGGAGGGACCACGATGATGTCTGGGTCTCGAAATCGGCGTTCATTATTGTGGACACCCATAAGCTCCTGAGCTTATTGCCATAGGTGCTGCTCGCTAACAGCACTTGCCCCAACAGCCTGTGCCTATGCCGGTGTGGGGGGGGGGGCAGTGTGTAGGAGGGGGCTGAACGGTGTATCTTTGTCTCGGTGAACCCCTCGTCACAAGGTGCTGCTGCTCGCTACCAACAGCACTTGCCCGTCCCGACTTTGTGAAGGCAATACGGGGGACCTTTGCCTTTGTCCGAGGCGCGCAGGGCGCGGTGGCCAGCTCCGTGAGCTGCCTGCAGCTGCACCGGCGCGCCGAGCGGGTGGCGGTGGCGCTGCTGGAGAGGGGGCGGGTGAATCCCGGCGACCACGTGGCGCTCCTCTACGCGCCAGGTAGTCGCTACGCGCCGCAAGTTCCACGCTCGCCGTGGCGGGGGAATCGGTCCGTGCACGGGTCGGCTCCACTGCCGTCGAGGGTAGCCGGTTGGGTCGTTAGTGGCGCCTGGAACCAGGGTCCGAACCCCGGGTTTCCCCGGTGGTGATAGAGGCTACACGGGGGACCTTTGTCTCTCTGCGTGCGTGTGTGGGTGCGTGTGTCTCTGCGGGGAACGGTAGTGGAGAAAGCGGTTAGCGCTACGCTGCGCTATGAACCCGGCGACCCGAGTTTGATTCCCGCTCATGGTCAACACCGGTGACAATTATCAGAACAGGTCGTGGGCCTTCCCTAGGCCGACTCGGCCTCAAATGAGTACCTGGTGGGATGTGTAAACATTGTGCCACTAGGGAGACAAAGGCAGCCGGGCGTGGTGCTGGCCACCCACCCCGTCGTGTGCCATGCCGGCCTACATAGGTGCTGCTCGCTAACAGCCCTTGCCCCTCCAGTCTGTCGAGGCTACACGGGGGATCTGTGACGTTGTCTTTGTGTGTGCGTGCGTGCGGGAGGCAGGGATCGAGCTGATCGCGTCATTCTACGGCTGCCTGTACGCGGGCTGCGTCCCTGTCGCCGTGCGGCCCCCACAGCCGCAGCACGTCGCCACCACGCTCCCCACCGCCAGGATGGTCGTCGAGGTAGACGCACCGCCGACACGCCGGCAACCAGCAGCCAAGCGCCGTGTGACGCACCACCGCTACCATGACCACTACTACCACCACCAGCACTACCGCCACCACTGCCATAACCACCACCACTACGGCCAACACTACCACCACTACCATCACCACCGCTTCCACCATTGCTGTTGCCGCAACGTCGGACTGCCCTTGCCCGGCCACAATCCCCAGCCACAACTCACAGCCACAACCACCGGTGACTTCGCGCCACACCATCACGGCCCCAACTGCAGCCATCGCTGCCCCCACCGACCACTCGGGCCCCAAACTGAAAACCTCGTGCCGTCGTTACCCCCTCAACCTCCGCCTCCAACAACCACACGAGTGACAACACCCCCCCCCCCATCATCATCACAACACCCCCCCATCATCATCACAACACCCCCCCATTATCATCACAACACCCTCCCCATCATCATCACAACACCCCCCCATCATCATCACAACACCCTCCCCATCATCATCACAACACCCTCCCCATCATCATCACAACACCCCCCCATCATCATCACAACACCCCCATCAGCATCACAACACCCCCCCCCCATCATCATCACAACACCCCCCCCCCCATCATCATCACAACACCCCCCCCCCCATCATCATCACAACACTCCCATCATCATCACAACACTCCCATCATCATCACAACACCCCCCCATCATCATCACAACACCCCCATCATCATCATCATCACAACACCCCCATCATCATCATCATCATCACAACACCCCCATCATCATCATCACAACACCCCCATCATCATCATCACAACACCCCCATCATCATCATCACAACACCCCCATCATCATCATCACAACACCCCCATCATCATAACAACACTCCCCCATCATCATCACAACACTCCCCCATCATCATCACAACACCCCCCCCATCATCATCACAACACCCCCCCATCATCATCACAACACCCCCCCATCATCATCACAACACCCCCATCATCATCACAACACCCCCATCATCATCACAACACCCCCATCAGCATCACAACACCCCCATCAGCATCACAACACCCCCCCCCCATCATCATCACAACACTCCCATCATCATCACAACACCCCCCCATCATCATCACAACACCCCCCCATCATCATCACAACACCCCCATCAGCATCACAACACCCCTATCATCATCACAACACCCCCATCATCATCACAACACCCCCATCATCATCACAACACCCCCATCATCATCACAACACCCCCATCATCATAACAACACCCCCATCATCATAACAACACTCCCCCATCATCATAACAACACTCCCCCATCATCATAACAACACTCCCCCATCATCATAACAACACCCCCCCCATCATCATCACAACACTCCCCCATCATCATCACAACACTCCCCCATCATCATCACAACACCCCCATCATCATCACAACACCCCCCCATCATCATCACAACACCCCCCCATCATCATCACAACACCCCCCCCCCCCCATCATCATCACAACACTCCCATCATCATCACAACACTCCCATCATCATCACAACACCCCCCCATCATCATCACAACACCCCCATCAGCATCACAACACCCCCCCCCCCATCATCATCACAACACCCCCCCATCATCATCACAACACCCCCCCATCATCATCACAACACCCCATCAGCATCACAACACCCCCCCCCCATCATCATCACAACACCCCCCCCCCATCATCATCACAACACCCCCCCCCCCATCATCATCACAACACCCCCCCCCCCATCATCATCACAACACTCCCATCATCATCACAACACCCCCCCATCATCATCACAACACCCCCATCATCATCACAACACCCCCATCATCATCACAACACCCCCATCATCATCACAACACCCCCATCATCATCACAACACCCCCATCATCATCACAACACCCCCCATCATCATAACAACACCCCCATCATCATAACAACACTCCCCCATCATCATAACAACACTCCCCCATCATCATAACAACACTCCCCCATCATCATAACAACACTCCCCCACCATCATCACAACACCCCCCCCCATCATCATCACAACACTCCCCCATCATCATCACAACACCCCCCCATCATCATCACAACACCCCCCCATCATCATCACAACACCCCCCCCCCATCATCATCACAACACTCCCCCATCATCATCACAACACTCCCCCATCATCATCACAACACCCCCATCAGCATCACAACACCCCCCCCCCCCCATCATCATCACAACACCCCCCCATCATCATCACAACACCACCATCATCATCACAACACCCCCCCCATCATCATCACAACACCCCCATCAGCATCACAACACCCCCCCCCATCATCATCACAACACCCCCCCCCATCATCATCACAACACCCTCCCCATCATCATCACAACACCACCATCATCATCACAACACCCCCCCCCATCATCATCACAACACCCCCATCAGCATCACAACACCCCCCCCCATCATCATCACAACACCCCCCCCCATCATCATCACAACACCCCCCCCCCCATCATCATCACAACACTCCCATCATCATCACAACACCCCATCAGCATCACAACACCCCCATCATCATCATCACAACACCCCCATCATCATCATCACAACACCCCCATCATCATCACAACACCCCCATCATCATAACAACACTCCCCCATCATCATAACAACACTCCCCCATCATCATCACAACACCCCCCCATCATCATCACAACACCCCCCCATCATCACAACACCCCCCCATCATCATCACAACACCCCCATCAGCATCACAACACCCCCATCATCATCACAACACCCCCATCATCATCACAACACCCCCATCATCATCACAACACTCCCCCATCATCATCACAACACCCCCCCCATCATCATCACAACACTCCCCCATCATCATCACAACACTCCCCCATCATCATCACAACACCCCCCCATCATCATCACAACACCCCCCCATCATCATCACAACACCCCCCCCCCCCCCATCATCATCACAACACTCCCATCATCATCACAACACTCCCATCATCATCACAACACCCCCCCATCATCATCACAACACCCCCATCAGCATCACAACACCCCCCCCCCCCCCATCATCATCACAACACCCCCATCATCATCATGGTCTTGCTGCTGCTGTGAAACCCAGCAAGGGCTGTAAGCGCGTGGTGGCCCTCTTCACACCGGTGACGTCATGTCGGCGACAGTGCCCCCCCCCCCCCCCCACCTCTGAAAATGAGTGCAGAAGACCGCTCTGACCCCTCGACCTCTGTCCTCCTGAGCTGTGTGCCTCCTCTGACCCGTGACCCCGTGACCCCGTGACCGGCGTCGGCTCAGGTGAGCAAGTCGGCCTGCATCCTCACGTCGCAGGCCGTGGTGAAGCTGCTGCGCTCCAAGGACGCGGGGCCCGCGCTGGACGCCAGAGCCTGGCCGCTCATCATCGACACAGGTCCCACCGCCACCACCACCACCACGCAGAGCTGCCGCACTACCACCCTGCACTGCTACACTACCACCCTGCACTACCACCACCATCACCACGCAGAGCTGCCGCACTACCACCCAGCACTGCAGCCACCGCAATGCCTCCCCACTGCACTACCACCCTGCACTACCACACTGCCACCTTGAACTACCACCTGCACTACCACCCTACCACCCTGCACTACCACACAGGACTATCACACTATCACAATGCAACACTGCACTACCACACTACCACCTTGCACTACCACTCTGCACTACCGACCCGTGCTGCTGCACTACTGCCCTCGAGCTCACAGCCGAGCGTGCTTGAGCGTGGTGGGCGAGTGGTGGTGGTTGAGCGTGGTTGAGCGTGGTTGAGCGTGGTGGGCGAGTGTTGGTGGTGGTTGAGCGTGGTTGGGCGTGGTTGGCGAGTCGCGGTGTTGGCGTCTCTCCCGCGCCCCAGACGACCTGCCCAAGCGGAGGCCCACGCAGCTCTACTCGCCCTGCGACCCCGACGCTCTCTGCTACCTCGACTACAGCGTCTCCACCAGCGGCACGCTCGCCGGGGTCAAGGTGCGCGGGGGGGGGTCCAGCGCTCACCAGCCACACGCTGCCCCTAACCCCCAGGATGAGCGGCCGTCATCATCGTGCGTGCGTGTGTGTGCCCCTCGCCGCCGCAGATGCCGCACGGTGCGGTGGGCGCGCTGTGCCGCTCCATCAAGCTGCAGTGCGAGCTGTACCCGTCGCGCGAGGTCGCCCTCTGCCTCGACCCCTACTGCGGCATGGGCTTCGTGCTCTGGTGTCTCAGCAGGTGTGCGGCGGTGGCGGCGGCGCGTCCCGGTTGGGGTCGCTTGCACACACACTCGCTCACCCACTCGTTCGTCGGTTCGCTTGCCCGCCCGCTCGTGCGTTCACTTATTTGCCCACGTGGTTAGTCCGTCCGTTCGTGCGTTCACTTGCTCGCTCGTCTTGCGTGCGCATGCACGTCCCATGTATGCGCGTGGGCGCGCGCGCGTGTTTATGTACACACAAAGATGCGTGTACGCAAACAAGCACGTTACGTACACGTGCCTGTTTACGTAATGCTCGTGAGCGCGCATTACGTACGCGCGCTACGGACGCGCACTGCGTACGCACGCTTGCTCACAGACACATGCGTGTGTGTGTGCAGCGTGTACTCGGGCCACCAGTCGATCCTCATCCCGCCGTCGGAGCTGGAGCTGAACGTGTCCCTGTGGCTGTCGGCCGTGAGCCAGTACCGCGTGCGGGACACCTTCTGCTCCTACTCCGCCATGGAGCTGTGCACACGCGGTCTCGGCACCCAGACCGACGCACTCAAGGTGGGGGGGGGGGGGGGGGGGCTGGTGGGGGGGGGGGGGGGGCTGGTGGGGGGGGGGGCTGGTGGGGGGGGGGCTGGTCAGGGCGTTAGGTGGTCGGAGGTGTACGAGAAGTGTACGGCGCTACACGACCGCTCAGGAATATTTCGTTACGCAGGAGGAATCCGATGATCTATAAAGCTCTCTTTTGACAGATGTCCCAGTAGGGGCACGGGGGTCGGAACGTTACAACAACAAACAATACAAACACGACAGAAGTGCAAAGTAGAAGAACGGTAAACAGATCACTGTAAAAACAGACATGTACACAACTGGTGAAGGAAAAGCCCACCGAGCTGTGAGCTTATGTTTCAGAAGCGACGAACCCAATCGAGAGTACACGTACCCTGGCGGCACAAGTGGGCTACTCAACTCGGCTGGCCTGGCTGATGACATTAGATGTACGCGTTGTAGCCCCGCCGCCGCTGCTGCCGCTGCTGCTTTGCTCAAACGCCACACGAAAGAAGAAGAATGTGACTGTGCGTGCGGTGTGTGTGTCTGCGTGCTGTGTGTGCGGTGTTCTGTGTGTGTCGATGTGCTGGTGTGCTGTGTGCGGTGTGCTGCGCGCGGTGTGCTGCGCGTGTCGGTGTGCTGCGTGCGGTGTGCTGCGCGTGTCGGTGTGCTGCGTGCGGTGTGCTGTGCACGGCGGTGTGCCGCGTGCAGGCGCGTGGCGTGGACCTGTCGCGGGTGCGCACGTGCGTGGTGGTGGCGGAGGAGCGTCCGCGCGCCACCCTCACGCTCTCCTTCTCCAAGCTGTTCCGCCACCTGGGCCTGCACGCCCGCGCCGTCACCACCGCCTTCGGCTGCCGCGTCAGCCCCGCCGTGTGCCTGCAGGTGTGCCACCCTGCACCTCCCCACACCACCCTGCACCTCCCTGCACCTCCCTACACCACCGTGTACCTCCCTACACCTCCCTACACCACCGTGTACCTCCCTACACCTCCCTACACCACCGTGTACCTCCCTGCACCTCCCTGCACCTCCCTGCACCTACCTGCACCTCCCTACACCTCCCTACACCACCGTGTACCTCCCTACACCTCCCTACACCACCGTGTACCTCCCTACACCTCCCTACACCACCGTGTACCTCCCTGCACCACCCTGCACCTCCCTGCACCTCCCTGCACCTCCCTACACCTCCCTACACCACCGTGTACCTCCGTACACTTACCTTGAACCTTCCTCCACCTCCATGCAATGCCCTGCACGTCCCTGCATCTACTTGCACATCTCCACACCGCCCTGCACCAACCTCTGCTTCTCTGCTCGCCCGCCCTGCACTCGCCCCCGAATCAAACCCTCACGCCGGCTCCTCCGCGTCCCTTCTCAACCTCGGGCCGCACCGCCTGCCCCCCCCCCCTGCCCCCCGTCCGACTGGTGGCCCGTCCTAATATGCCTTCCTGCCCTCCTCTCCCCCTCTCCCCCTCTCCCCCTGGCCCCTCCCACCCACCGCGCCACCTCCAGCCTCACAGGCTCGGGAAGACGTCAGAGCAGGTAAAGGTCAGAGGTCGGAATCCTCCTCCTCCTCGTCTTCCTCCTCGTCCGCCACCCCTCCTGCTCGTGTGCCGTGCGGTTCAAGGCGGCTTGTGTGCGTTAGCCGTCACCGCCTGCGGGTTCAACCGGTTGGGAAACTGGTCACCGGCTTGCCGGACGTCTATTCAACGTCCAGGGCAAATGTGGCACGCGGTGGTCAGCCGCCGCGTGTGAGCGTAGAGAAAATAAAACTACAATTGCATCTTAAACGAACCCCGCACAGCCGGAGTTCAATTCCCGCTCACAGCCAACATCGGTGACGAAAATCCGAGCCGCTCACTGGGCCTCCTCTAGGTCGACTGAGCCCTAACAGAGTAACTGGCGTGGTGTGTTAACCATCCCTCGGGTGGCAAAGGCCGGCCTGGTGTGGTGCTTGACCACCCATGTGCTTTACCGGCCTTAATGGGTGCTCGCTAACAGCACAGTGGCTGGGAGATGTTAACTATCTTGCCTGGTATACAGGAGGTCGTGGGTTCGATCCCGACCCTGACGCCTGCTGCTGTAAATTTGGAGTTTGTGCGTCTCTCTCCCTGTAGTCGCGTGGATTTTGCTTCGGGTCCTCGGGTTTTTCCCTCCGCATTGAGAATCAACATCAGCACGCATGATAAGCCACTTCGTTGAGCTGTCATTTGTGGCCAGGTCGCTTATGAAAAATAGCTACATAGCTCTGTGGGCCTTACCTGGTCAAATTAACAATAGTTTAGTTGAATTTCAGGCTTTATGGGGATCTCTGTGTGTGTGATGTGCGTGATTTGGTAGGGGATTGTGGGCTTGTGCGCTGAGCGGTGTGATGAGCATTGTGCTGGCCGTGGTGTTGATCGTGGTGCTGAGCGGTGTGCCGAGTGGTATGTTGATCATGGTGCCGAGTGGTGTGCCGAGCGGTGTGTCGAGTGGTATGTTGATCATGGTGCCGAGTGGTATGTTGATCATGGTGCCGAGCGGTGTGCCGAGCGGTGTGCCGAGCGGTGTGCCGAGCGGTGTGCCGAGCGGTGTGCCGAGTGGTATGTTGATCATGGTGCTGAGCGGTGTGCCGAGTGGTACGTTGAGCGGTATGCTGAGTGGTGTGCTGAGTGGTATGCTGAGCGGTACGTTGGCCATGGTGCCGAGTGGTGTGCTGAGTGGTGTGCCGAGTGGTGTGCCAAGTGGTGTGCCGAGTAGTGTGCCGAGTGGTGTGCCGAGTGGTGTGCTGAGTGGTGTGCTGAGTGGTATGCTGAGTGGTATGCTGAGCGGTACGTTGGCCATGGTGCCGAGTGGTATGCTGAGTGGTGTGCTGAGTGGTGTGCTGAGTGGTGTGCTGAGTGGTATGCTGAGTGGTGTGCCGAGTGGTATGCTGAGTGGTGTGCTGAGTGGTGTGTTGAGTGGTATGTTGAGTGGTATGTTGGCCATGGTGCCGAGTGGTATGCTGAGTGGTATGCTGAGTGGTGTGCTGAGTGGTGTGCTGAGTGGTGTGCTGAGTGGTGTGCCGAGTGGTATGCCGAGTGGTGTGCTGAGTGGTGTGTTGAGTGGTATGTTGAGTGGTATGTTGGCCATGGTGCCGAGTGGTGTGCTGCTGGCCGCGTGTTTCTCAGCAGAGTGCGGCAGGGCCCGACCCCACGACGGTGTACGTGGACACGAGGGCGCTGTGGCACGACCGGTATGCACAACCACACACACACACACGTGTGTGTGTGTGTGTACCCGTGTGTGCGCGTGTACCCGTGTGTAGTGGTTAGCACGCCGAGCTACGAACCTGGTAGACAGCGTTCGATTCCCGCTCGACTCGGCCACAAACGAGTACCTGGTGCGGTGTGTAAAGATCGCCACTGGGGAGACAAAGGCGGCCGGGCGTGGCGCTCGCCACCTCCCCCCCCCCCTCGTGTGCCGTGCCGGCTTTCATAGGTGCTCGCTAACAGCACTTGTCCCAACAGTCTGTTAAGGCTACACGGGGGATCTTTGTCTTGTGTGTGTGTGCAGGGTTCGGATTGTGGAGAGGGGAGCTCCTCACAGTGTCGCACTGATGGAGTCAGGCAAGGTCAGTGTCTACACGTGGCTAGCCCTGCCAGTGACTGGTCCAGGTCTGGTAGCTATAGACTCATTCTTTTTATTGACTGTTCACGATGTTTTCCAAAACTAATCAATCTTTGCCTCCCCACTTTCCCTTGTCTCCATGTCCCTTTTCTGTCTCCTCTTGTCCCCGTGTGTCTTCACATGTCCCCATGCGTCTCCCCGTGTCTCCTTGTATCTACTCATCTCCCTGTGTCCCTGCATGTCCCCGTATCTCCCCGTGTCTCCCCGTGTCCCCCCACGTGTCCCCATCTATGTTTGTCTGTCCCACCTTGTATCTCTGTCCTTGTATCTCCCCGTCGCCCCGTGTCCCCGTGTCCCCTCAGATCCTGCCGGGCGTGCGGGTCATCATCGTGAGCCCCGAGCACCGGGGTCCCCTCGGGGACTCCCACCTCGGGGAGGTGGGGCCCCCAACAAACCACACCCCCCCCCCACCCAAAAACAAAGACCCCCCCCCCCTTGTAGCCTTCACAGGCAGCACGTGACGCACGAGGGGCTCACGCCGGCGGGTAGCGTGGATGGGTGCGGAGGTGACGCGGACAGACACGGGTGGGGGGGGGGGGAGACACGCACGGACAGACACGGGGGAGAGGGGGGAGACACGGTACGGACAGACATGGGGGGGAGGGGGGAGACATGCACGTGCGTGGACGCACAGAGTGATGGATAGAAGGGGTGACATGCAGACACAGACAGACAGGGTTATGCACCGAGGAAACGCGGAATAACTGCACCACAAACCCAGCCACCCGGGTTCAAGTCCCGCTCGGTCAACCGCGGCCGGAGACGATTACCTGAACCTGCCGTGGGCCTCGCGGAGGTCGACTCGGCCTCAAACGAGGACCTGGCGCGGTGCGTAAACGTCGCCACCGGGGAGACAAAGGCGGCCGGGCGTGGTTGCTGGCTCCACCCACCCGCTAACAGCACTTGCCCCAACGGTGTGTCGAGGCTACGCGGGGGATCTTTGTCTCCGTAGATCTGGGTGAGCAGCCCGCACAGCGCCAGCGGCTACTTCTCGGTGCACGGCGACGACGCTCGCTGCTCCGAGCACTTTGGAGCACGGCTCAGCTTCGGCGACACGCACACGGCGTGGGCGCGCACCGGCTACCTGGGCTTCCTGCGGCGCACGGAGCTCACCGACGCCAGTGGTGGTGCGCGTGCTCGTCTGTGTGTGTGTGTTCCTGTGTGTGTCTGCATGCATAGTGGGGGAGCGGTAGTGTAGCGGTTAGCGCGCTGCACTATGAACTTAGCGACCCGGGTTCGATTCCCGCTCACGGCCAACACCAGTGACGATTATCTGAACCGGTCCTGGGCCTCCCCTAGGTCGACTCAGCCTGAAATGAGTACCTGGTGCGGTGTGTAAACATCGCCACTGGGGAGACAAAGGCGGTCGGGCGTGGTGCTGGCCACCCACCCCCTCGTGTACCGTTCCGGCCTTCATAGGTGCTCACTAACAGCACTTGTCCCTACAGTCTGTTAAGGCTATACGGGGGATCTTTGTGTGTCTGTGTGTGTGTGTGCGCGCATATGTATGTATGTATGTTCGTGCGTCTGTGTGCGAGTGTGCATATGCATGTATGTTCGTGTGTTTGTGCGTCTGTGCACGCGTGTGTATGTGCATGCGTGTGTACGTACGTGCCTGTCTTACGTGCCAGAATGTGTTGCAGGACGATGTATTTTTTCACGTCTGTGTGTGTTTGTGTGTGTGGGGGCCATCCCGACTTTCCTTGGTGCTCGCTAACAGCAGATGTCTCAAGAGTCTGTTAAGGCTACACGGGGGAGATCTTTCTCTGTGTTGCGTGCGTGTGCGCGTGCGTGTATGTGCGTGCGTGTATGTGCGTGCGTGTGTGTGTGCGTGTGCGTGTGTGCGTGTGTGTGTGCGTATGTGCGTGTGCGTGCGTGTGTATGTGCGTGTGCGTGCGTGTGCATGTGCGTGTGTGTGTGCGTGTGTATGTGCGTGTGCGTGTGTGTGCGTGCGTGTGCGTGCGTGTGTGCGTGTGTATGTGCGTGTGCGTGCGTGTGCGTGCGTGTGTGTGTGCGTGTGCGTGCAGAGCGCCACGACGCGCTGTACGTGGTGGGCGCGCTGGAGGAGGCGATGGAGCTCAAGGGGCTGCGCTACCACCCCATCGACATCGAGTCGTCCATCCTGCGCGCCCACCGCAACATCGCCGAGTGGTGGGTGGGGGGGGGGGGGGTCCCGGGGGGCACGCGCACACACACACACGCACACACACACGCGCACAGACACACACACACACGCACACACGCACGCACACACACGCGCACACACACACGCACACGCGCACACACACGCACGCACACTTTCGGCGTGCAAGTGAGGGGGGCGGCGTAGCGTCACGTGGAGCGCGAGTCTGCGGGGCAGCCTGGCTCGGGGTAGTCGGCTCGTGGTGGTGCTAAGGCAGTAGTAATTGTTGTTGTTGACGAGTAATAGTTGTTGTTGTTGTTGACGAGTAATGGGTGTGTGGTCATCAGCGCCGTGTTCGAGTGGACCGACCTGCTGGTGGTGGTGCCGAGGCTGTAGTCATTGTTGTTGTTGTGTAATAGTTGTTGTTGTTGAGTAATTGTTGTGGTGTCACCAGTGCGGTGTTCGAGTGGACCGACCTGCTGGTGGTGGTGCTGAGGCTGTAGTCATTGTTGTTGTTGTGTAATAGTTGTTGTTGTGTAATTGTTGTGGTGTCACCAGTGCGGTGTTCGAGTGGACCGACCTGCTGGTGGTGGTGCTCGAGCTGCAGGGCTCCGAGCAGGAGGCCCTCGACCTCGTCGCCCTCGTCACGGCCACCGCCCTCGAGGAGCATCACCTCCTGGTGGGTGGGGGGGGGGGGCTGGTGGGGGGGGGGGGTGACATTGTTGCCCTCGTCACAGCCCCCACTCTCGAGTGGGTAGGGGGCTAGGGGTTGGGGTGCCCAGAATGCGTGGAACGTTGGTGGAACGTTGTTCCAACGTTGCACGTATTACTAGGTGGTGCTCACACTGTCCCCAGCTGTCTGTTTCAAAGTCTTCATGATGGTGGTGGAACGTGCCGATGAAGAGTTTGGTGATTGCGGTGATGAAGTTGATGGTGGTATGACAATGATGATGGTGGTGGTTGTGATGATGGTGAGGACGATGCTGGTGGGGTGTCGGTGAGAATGGTGGTGGTGGTGACGTTGAGATTTCGGGGTGACGGTTGTAGTGGTGGTGGTTGTGGGGAGCAGTGGTGTAGCGCTACAACCCGGCGACCCGAGTTCGACTCCCGCTCACGGCCAACACCATTGACCATTATCTCAATCGGTGCAGAGCCTCCCCTAGATCGACTCAGCCTCAAATGAGTACCTGGTATGTGTGTAGTAAACATCGCCACTCGGGAGACAAAGGCGTGGAGTGCCGTGCCGGCCTTCATAGGGGCAACCCACTAACAGCACTTTCCCCTTTTAAAATCCTTTATATTAAGTTCGCTTGCTTGCTTGCGACCGTGCAAATCTTTCGGTCGTTTTTTAACCCACTTCCCGTGATCCAATCGAGCTGACATTTTGCACACAGACTCGTTGTGCGTGACAATTAATGTTCGTGAAAAAATTTTCCCAAAATTTTACACTTTTTAGGCCAAAAATTCTTATTTTACATTTATTCAAATACAACTCATTCATGGCTTTGGCTGAACGTCACAGTGTAGGAGCCCAGAGCATGACACCTCCACAGGCCGTGGCGGAGTACCGCAGTTGGTAGCGCCCTCGCTTCCTATGCCAAAGGTCGCGGGATCGATCCCCGCGTCCTCCACAGGCAAAGATATTTTTAAATCCTTTATATTAAGTTCGCTTGCTTGCTTAGGACTGTGCAAATCTTTCAGTCGTTTTTTAACCCACTTCCCGTGATCCAATCGAGCTGACATGTTCCACACAGACTCGTTGTGCGTGACAATTAATGTTCGTGAAATTTTTTTTCCAAAATTTACACTTTTTAGGACAAAAATATTATATTTAATTACCAATTGCTTAATACTGGCAGACAATCATCTGACCCATAGGTGGCAGCCATCTCAAGCCAGAGGACGAGAGGACTCTAGCCGCCACGCATATAAAGGATTTATAGTGAAAAACTTTGTTTTTACTGGTTATACTTATTAACACGTAGACTTTCCCCTACCGTCTGTTAAGGCGACGCACGGGGGATCTTTGTCCTGTTTTGGTGGTGGTGTTGTCCATCCCTCCACCCGTCCCATCCCTCTCTCGTCCACCGCGGTAACGACGGCGTCTTTCCCCCCCCCGGGTGGTGCAGGTTGGCGTCGTGGTGGTGGTGGACGTGGGCGTCATTCCCATCAACTCGCGCGGGGAGAAGCAGCGCTTGCACCTGCGTGACGGATTCTTCGCGGACAAACTCGACCCCATCTACGTAGCCTACAACATGTGACGAGGGCACGCGTGACGGCACGTGTTGACACGCGTGTTGATTAACGTTACGAGACGTCATGACGCACGCGTGGTGGCACGTGACGACTCGTGGCACGTGACGACAACGCGCGACGGCACGTGGCACACTATGGGGTCACGCCGTGCAACGTGGACACGCGCGCCGGTAACGTACGCGGAGTGATGGACTGATGTGGGTGACGTGCAGGCAGACATACAGGGTACACACGGACGACACGCGCAGTGCGCTCACCGCTCCACCACCACTCCCACGTACACTGCACAGGACGCACACACAACACACCACCTCGCGTCAACGGCCAATAGCAGCAGAGCCAGTGGTGGAAATTCCACGTTACTATGCCGGGGACCAGTGCAGCAACAGGACAACCCCTGTTGATTTCCCTCAAAGTGGTGCTACTCCTCCTATCCACCCAGGGAAGGACGATGGCTTTTCCGTCGCAACGTCCTGCGTGTGAAGTTGCTCATTGGGAGCCGCTATGCGTGAGCGTGTTTAGCCTGGAAAGCCTCACGGAGCCACAAGACTCCTTTGCAGGGGTGCGGGGGGTCCTGCCATGTGTTCACAGTACGGGGGTGGGGGGGTGGCGGCGATGCTGCTGCTGTTGCTGCTCCGTGCGATGCGAATGCAGTGATGTTTGCGGTGATTATTTAGCAAGTGGTGATGATTTGGTGGATATCCGTTGTTCCGTTGTTTGTGCGTGTGTGGGTTGTCGCCATGGGATGAAACGAGAGAACGCAGAGGAAGCCCCGTGGCAGGGAACGGGGGGGGGGGGGGGGGGGGGGGGAGAGAGAATGTGTAGAATGTGCACGCTCCACGCAGACTGGCACTCCGAGGTCGGGAGTCCAACCCAGGCTCCTCCGTGGTGCCGCCGACGTGAAGGTCACGTGTTTAGTTGTGGAACGGAGCGAGCCGCCGATTCGCCGCTGACTTTTTGGAGTCGGATCGTGTCGGTAAAAAAAAAAAAGAATTGCGTGTGTAATAGTACCCTCTTCCACCCGATACGGCCGATGTAGCAACATTGCCACGTCAAACAAACACTGCCAATTTATTGTTAGAGACACGAGCCCACGGCCGTGTGACTGTGGTCATGTGACCCAAACGATGGACCATAAAATCAACCCATAGAGACCCAATGAGACACAGAGACCCATCGAGATACACTCAAGACAAGCCACAGTTACGGGCCGCACGGTGAACCCGCTGTGGTCTGCGCTCCTTCGTGTGTGCGCGTGTTTAACTCATTTCGCACCGTACGTAACCAACCTTGCTGATCGGAGGTGCGGGAGAATGACAAACTGGCACGGAAAAAGCAGTTCAACAGAAATAATTTTGCAATCTGGATTTGCAAAGGGAAAAGTGGTAGGCAGAGGAAAGTGATTAAGGGACCCCTCGACTTTGTGTGTGTGCGTGTTCAACTTCTTTCGTACCGTACGTAACCAACCGTGCCGATTGGAGGTGCGGGGAGAGAGTGATCCACACACAATGTGTGTCGCACCTCTGGCGAGGGTGGTTGGCTACGTACGGTGTGAAGGAAGTTCAGTTCAACATACGCACAGCAATTGGGTCGACACGGACGCTTCGCTGGAAGTTACAACCAGCATCGTCGGGCGAGTTACTGAAGCGATCTGCCCCAAAGCAGTCAATTGTGAATCCAGTTCTATTTAGCACAATAGTCTCAGACATATGTTATATATATACGTCACTACCTAAACAAATTGTATAAAAAAGATTTAAGATAAATACTGTGTACATTGCATAAGTCGTGTGTATGTACAATACCTGGAAAGGTAAAGATTCAAGCCTCTGGGATCTAGGTGTGTTTGGCCTACTCTTCCACGTTGGACGAACGTCAAGAAAGGTGTGCGTGTATGTACATATTGTTAGCCAGTTGTCTAAGTCGGTCAACCCGTGGCACCCGAGTCTGTTCTGTGACCTCCTGCCAGCGAGCATTCGACGCTTCAAGTGGCCTCAAAGTGCACCCGGCCTGGCACAAGCGCTGTGGTGACATCACCGCCACTTAGTGGTCAATGGCGGCTGTTGTCATTGTTGGCACATTTGGCAGCACAGGAGGTGCCTCTGCCAAGTTAAGGTCGGTCAACCAATGTGGCACCTGCCTGGGTCTGTCCCGGGACCTCCTCCTGCACCTAGCCTGGCACAGGAGTCCACTAATGGCACTTATCTGGGTCTGTTCCGTGGAGCTCCTGGCAACAGCAGCAGCGCCTTCCACACCTTCGTGACAGCCTTCGAGGTGCACCTGGCCTGGCACAAATAGCGTGGTGACGTCACTGCCACCGAGTGTGAAAATGGCGGCTGCTGTTGTGCACATATACATACAGACCGAGACTCCTCTACTTACGAACATTCGACTTACAAACTCGGATACGAACAAACCTGGTCCGCATGTCAAGTTGCCCGTTTGGACCGCGAGTCGTACATCTGCAGAACATAAAGAACCAGTGGCATCTACATCTGCAGAACACGAAGAACCAGGTGGCATCTACATCTGCAGAACATAAAGAACCAGGTGGCATCTACATCGAAAGAACGCGAAGAACCAGTGGCATCTAAATCTCTAGAATGTGAATAACCAGTGACATGTACATCTGCAGAACGTGAAAAACCAGTGGCATCTACATCTGCAGAACGTGAAGAACCAGTGGCATCTACATCTGCAGAACGTGAAGAACCAGTGGCATCTACATCAAAAGAACGCGAAGAACCAGTGGCATCTACATCAAAAAAACGCGAAGAACCAGTGGCATCTAAATCTATAGAATGTGAAGAACCAGTGACATGTACATCTGCAGAACGTGAAGAACCAGTGGCATCTACATCGAAAGAACGCGAAGAACCAGTGGCATCTACATCTGCAGAACACGAAGAACCAGGTGGCATCTACATCTGCAGAACATAAAGAACCAGTGGCATCTACATCTGCAGAACATAAAGAACCAGTGGCATCTACATCTGCAGAACGTGAAGAACCAGTGGCATCTACATCTGCAGAACGCGAAGAACCAGTGGCATCTACATCTATAGAACGTGAAGAACCAGTGACATGTACATCTGCAGAACGTGAAGAACCAGTGGCATCTACATCGAAAGAACGCGAAGAACCAGTGGCATCTAAATCTATAGAATGTGAAGAACCAGTGACATGTACATCTGCAGAACGTGAAGAACCAGTGGCATCTACATCGAAAGAACGCGAAGAACCAGTGGCATCTACATCTATAGAATGTGAAGAACCAGTGACATGTACATCTGCAGAACGTGAAGAACCAGTCGCATCTACATCTGCAGAACACGAAGAACCAGGTGGCATCTACATCTGCAGAACATAAAAAACCAGTGGCATCTACATCTGCAGAACATAAAGAACCAGTGGTATCTACATATGCAGAACGTGAAGAACCAGTGGCATCTACATCTGCAGAACGTGAAGAACCAGTGGCATCTACATCTGCAGAACGCGAAGAACCAGTGGCATCTAAATATATAGAATGTGAAGAACCAGTGACATGTACATCTGCATAACGTGAAGAACCAGTCGCATCTACATCTGCAGAACACGAAGAACCAGTGGCATCTACATCTGCAGAACACGAAGAACCAGGTGGCATCTACATCTGCAGAACATAAAGAACCAGTGGCATCTACATCTGCAGAACGTGAACACCCAGTGACATCTACATCTGCAGAACGTGAAAACCCAGTGACATCTACATCTGCAGAACGTGAAAACCCAGTGACATCTACATCTGCAGAACGTGAAAACCCAGTGGCATCTAAATTTATAGAACGTGAAGAACCTGTGACATGTATATCTGCAGAACGTGAAAACCCAGTGGCATCTACATCTGCAGAACACGAAGAACCAAGTGGCATCTACATCTGCAGAACATAAAGAACCAGTGGCATCTACATCTGCAGAACACGAAGAACCAGTGGAATCTCCATCTACAGAAAACAAAGAACCAGTGGCATTTCCATCTACAGAAAACGAAGAACCAGTGGCATCTACATCTGCAGAACGTGAAGATCCAGTGGCATCTCCATCTGCAGAACACGAAGAACCAGTGGCATCTACATCTGCAGAACACAAAGAACCAGTGGCATTACATCTAGAGGAGATTATACAACTTTTAAAGCCATTTCTCCATGTTTAGTGGACACACGCCATATGACGTGTTTGGAATCGACAGGAATAAAGTTGCACTTACAGGAGTCCCTGTATATATACTTATATATGATATATAGTATATATATGTACATACATAGTACGGATATAAACGCAATACGCTGTGTGTATGGGGTCGGTCAAGACACGTGATTTGAGTCGGGGGTTATTTTTTTGGCGAGTTGACAAAAGTCAACAGTTACTTTTTTACGTTTACTCTCCTTTAATGTGTAGAGTCGCTCTTTGAATCGATAAGCATTTTCCCCAAGTCGTACACAAATTATTCACTATATAGAAAGATAGACTGATGGTTAATTTAGTGGACGAGACGAGGGTTCTGTATAGGACGATTTGCTGGCTTCAGACAAGCGGCGGCATGGTTAGAAACAATTCTAGATTTGAAGCTTTCGTGACTGCAAGGATTCATATTCTTAGGTTTTTTCGATAAAGTCACATAGGTAAAAAACGTTAAAAAGTGAAATAAAATAAAAATCACGACGTTTCGGAGGCAACACAAGCTTCCGTCTTCAGGTGGTACCGTCACAGCCACGACAGCTGTATCAAGCAGTAGCTCCTGCAATCTCTCATTTACTTGATTGATTTTTATTTTATTTTACTTTTTAATGTTTTTACCTACGTTTTTACCTACGTGACTTCACAGTCCAGTCAGCCAATTGCTTTCCATCGATGTTCATCATGTAGTCGAGTGAAAGTTGTTTTTTTGCTAGTTTTAAACACGTCATAGTAGTAGGCTTTCGCGACCAATCTTATCCATGAGGTTTTTTTTTAGGATGAAATCGCGTCCAATTGTAAATGTCGTGATTGGTTTACCCTCAAACACAGTTGTGCTGAACTGGTAATTAATTGGCGTGTTCTGTTTAAGTGACAAACCTTCCTAATTGGCTGCGTCACGTGGTGGCGGGTTTAACGACACATTTCTATTTACGCGATCTAGCCCAAAAAAAAAAACCCTCTTATGTATTTTGTTATTGAATTTGAAGGTCACAAGCGGTGATCGGGTGGCTGCAGGGGGTTCCGCAATGTCCATGTCGGGAACACGACACGAAGCCACTTCCACCGAGTCCCCGGGTTCCGGGGTCCTGGCTTCTCAGCTGTCCTTCAATTCTAAAAACCGGGTTCTCAAGCGAAGCGAGTCGGTGGTCTCAGCCCAGTCACCAATGACTGTGCAGTCAACAATGACTGGGCAGAGACCCGTAGACTCTGGACTCAGTTCTTGACAACCGCGGCAAAGTCCCCCCGTGTGCTGCGGGAACAGCACGGCGTTGTCAAGCGAGGCGGCGCGAACCCCTCCATGCCGTTCAGTGGCCGATCCAGCCCCCCGCCCCCCCCCCCCCCGCACTCCAGCCCCCGCACCCCCATGGGTGGGACCGGGCCCGTTCCTCTAAGTTTGTAACTCTTCTTGCGTATGGCTAAGTCAGTCTGTGTCCCAACTGCTAAGTTTGTGTATTTGTATATAACAGGCGTGTATATATATGTCATATGGGTTCACCCGTGCAGTAGGATGACACTCAATATGCGTATCGGTTTGATCGCTCGCTCCTCTGTGTGACTTGTGGAACGTAGCATTGACTGCCTGAGTCGCCTTCTACTCTGCTCAGTCACAGGGGCTCAAAGTCCCCACCCTCTCCAGCCACTTCATTCTCTCCTCTGCCTCTACGTGCTTTGAGTGGCACACTAATACTCACCTACTCACCATGCACTCGCTCACTCATCCACTTACCTATTCGCTCACCGACTTACCCACTCACCGAGCTATTCAGCCATTCACTCGCAAACCTACTAATCTATTCACTCACCTACTCACCCACTAACTCACTTACCTTCTCATTCACCCACATATTTACGCACATACTCTTTGGTTCTTTCGCTAAAGTCACGTAGGTAGAAAAATAATAGATCACGACGTTTCGGTCGCAACACAAGCAATCGTCATCAGGTGGGACAACCACAGCAAGAACAAACTGCTGAAGTAGGCGACCTCTGCCATGGCACGAGGTTATATAATAGGCCTCGGCAGTAGGGGGAGGAAAGACAAAGGGGGGGGGAGGCGGGGCAGAAAGTGGACCCCGCAGCAGCAATCGCGATCGAAACGTCGTGCTCTATTATTTTTCTACCCACGTGACTTTACCGAAAGAACCAAAGCGCATGGATTCCTGCAGTCACGAAAGCTTCAAATCAATATTTACTCACCTTCTCACCCACCCACCCACCCACTCTCCCACCTAGTCACTTGGGATCTCATCCGCCGCCTCCCTCCCCTACCGTCTCTCGACTCCAATGAAATGTCCCCATCTCTGTCGGGCAACCCGGCAGACGTTGAGTTGATCGGTCGCGCTCCGAAAACCCGCGGTGGTTTCCGCTCAACGGGCGCAGGGCTACAGCCACGAGAGGGCGCGTGGCCTGTACAGTCACAAACTTGAATGTCGAGTGTGTTGCGTGCGCAATGCATTGACAGAATAGCGTAACGAACGCGAGGCAGAACAGGGGGGTGCCTTGCCCCCCCCCCATGCCCCCCACCCCCCCCTGCCCCCCCACCCCTGCCCCCCCCCCTGGTGGTCAAAGTTACGAGTTGCCCCCCCCCCCCCTCCCCCCTTGACCACCACCATGATGAGATTTGTTTGCAACAGTATCAAAGAACAGCAGTTATTGAAAACGCGGTTTACTTTTTGTTTCTAGCACGGAGCTGTCGAAGGCTGCATTTTACCAGGGCGTTGGAGCGCCCCCCGACAGCGTTCAATGTTCGATACCGTGAGCGTAACGACGATGTGGATGATGGCAAGCGATAAAGTAGCCTCGAGGGTGCGGCCGTGCGAGACAAATCACAACATTGGGGGGCCCACCTGACCCATTGCCACACTCCCTGAGCTCACGATGTTGTTGCCACCACGCTCACCTGCGCCCAATTGAAGCCACGCGTGCCCCAGGCTTTTTGTACCTTTGAGCTCCATTCACCTGCGCCACGGGTACTGTGCAATTCGGCTTCAGTTTCGCCTCTGCTTCATCTTAACTCTAGATTTGAAGCTTTCGTGACTGCAAGGATTCATATTCTTAGGTTTTTTTCGGTAAAGTCACGTAGGTAAAAAAATTAAATTAATAAAAGTCGTGGCTGTGACGGTTCCACCTGAAGACGGAGGCTTGTGTTGCTTCCGAAACGTCGTGATTTTTTATTTTGTTTTATTTTACTTTTATTCATTTAAAAATTTTACCTACGTGACTTTACCGAAAAAAACCTAAGAATATTCATCTTAACTGGCTGCTCACCTCTACGCTGCATTTAGAGTTACTCTTCAAAGTTGCGGTGTCGCTACGCGGGGTCCCGGCGACTTCTCGGGCCGTTGTCCGACGTTCCAGCTCCGCCCGCACGACGCTTCTTCAGCACGCTTTGATGCCAACGCAGAACTCCCCTGTGTAGAGACTTTACCTGTCCGGTGCTCGTAACGTTACTGATGAACCGAGTTCAACCCGGGATATGACTTCACCTGTTCATTGCTCTCACATTTTCTGACGAACCGACTTCAACCGGGGATATAAGTTCACCTGTGCGTTGATCTCACCTGTGCAGTGCTCTCACCTTCACGCTCTCTTCGACTCTATACGGATCTCACCTTTGCATCGAATTCACCTGCAGAAAATGAACTCGCCATGTGCGAATTCAGTTCCCACTTTTATACGAACTCACCTGCACGCCTCGCTTGTCCGTGTGCAAATAACTCACCTGCCCGACAGGTGTGGTGGGTGGATGGGGTTTTTTTGTTGTCGTACGTACGTACCTGTGTTGACTCATTTACCTGTGCACCGGATTTACATTTGTGGCTGGGGATCGAGCTACCGCTATACCGAGCTCACCTATGCACTGGGGTTTACCTGCCCGATTAGACTCGCCTGTGTTGCAATGAGCTCACTACCTGTGCACGGTGCTTCTCTCACGTCTCTACGCTGGGAATTACCTTTGTACGTACTCGACTTACCTGTTTGGGTTTCACCTGTGCGGCAAGATTAGCCCCGTTTGTACTCGCCTGCACAACTGTACTCAAACCTGTACAAATCTGCTCGCCTGCTTGGTCAGGGTTTTGCCCACACCGTGGTTTCCTCTTTGTACGCGAGATTTGTCACTCGACTAAACCACGGGCGTGGGAGAAAGCGGGTTTTTATAATTGTTTAACAATGGAAATGGGTAAGCGAGTTCATGATGGTGATGGCGATGATGGTGACGAATTAAACTGAACACGCAGTTTAACCATCCTGACCGCTGTGTTCGTTTTTTTAATGCTACATAGCTCTACACACGTGTATACAATCGCCTGGCGTTTTAAGCGCGTTCAAGTAACGCGTTAGATGAATGGAGACTTATTTTCGTGCGCGCGTGTATAGCTCTACGCACGTGTATAGCTCTACACACGTGTATAAAATCGCCTGGCGTTTTAAGCGCGTTCAAGTAACGCGTTAGATGAATGGAGACGTATTTTCGTGCGCGCGTGTATAGCTCTACGCACGTGTATAGCTCTACACACGTGTATAAAATCGCCTGGCGTTTTAAGCGCGTTCAAGTAACGCGTTAGATGAATGGAGACTTATTTTCGTGCGCGCGCGCGTGCGCTCAGGATTACTTTAAATCACACGCTGCTGCTGCTGCGTGTTGGCCACGGGGTCACGGAACGCGCCGCTCTGAGATCGTCTTTAGTCGGAGCGGTGAAGTTCAGTGGCGATGCTGCCGAAGGTGCAGCAGTAGCATCAGCAGTAACTACCACAAGCGCAGTGCAGCAGCAGCAGTAAACACCACTAGCTCAGAGCAGCAGCAGCAATAACCACCATTAGCTCAGTGCAGCAGCAGCAGTAACCACCACTAGCTCAGAGCAGCAGCAGCAGTAACCACCACTAGCTCAGTGCAGCAGCAGCAGTAACCACCACTAGCTCAGTGCAGCAGCAGCAGTAACCACCACTAGCTCAGTGCAGCAGCAGCAGTAACCACCACTAGCTCAGAGCAGCAGCAGCAGTAACCACCACTAGCTCAGAGCAGCAGCAGCAGTAACCACCACTAGCTCAGAGCAGCAGCAGCAGTAGCCACCACTAGCTCAGAGCAGCAGCAGCAGTAACCACCACTAGCTCAGAGCAGCAGCAGCAGTAACCACCACTAGCTCAGAGCAGCAGCAGCAGTAACCACCACTAGCTCAGAGCAGCAGCAGCAGCAACCACCACTAGCTCAGTGCAGCAGCAGCAGTAACCACCACTAGCTCTGTGCAGCAGCAGCAGTAACCACCACTAGCTCAGAGCAGCAGCAGCAGTAACCACCACTAGCTCAGAGCAGCAGCAGCAGCAACCACCACTAGCTCAGTGCAGCAGCAGCAGTAACCACCACTAGCTCAGTGCAGCAGCAGCAGTAACCACCACTAGCTCTGTGCAGCAGCAGCAGCAGCAGTAACCACCACTAGCTCAGTGCAGCAGCAGCAGTAACCACCACTAGCTCTGTGCAGCAGCAGCAGCAGCAGTAACCACCACTAGCTCTGTGCAGCAGCAGCAGCAGTAACCACCACTAGCTCTGTGCAGCAGCAGCAGCAGTAACCACCACTAGCTCAGAGCAGCAGCAGCAGCAACCACCACTAGCTCAGTGCAGCAGCAGCAGTAACCACCACTAGCTCAGTGCAGCAGCAGCAGTAACCACCACTAGCTCAGTGCAACTGCAGCAGCAACCACCACTAGCTCAGTGCAGCAGCAGCAGCAACCACCACTAGCTCTGTGCAGCAGCAGCAGCAGTAACCACCACTAGCTCAGAGCAGCAGCAGCAGTAACCACCACTAGCTCAATGCAGCAGCAGCAGTAACCACCACTAGCTCTGTGCAGCAGCAGCAGCAGTAACCACCACTAGCTCTGTGCAGCAGCAGCAGCAACCACCACTAGCTCTGTGCAGCAGCAGCAGCAGTAACCACCACTAGCTCAGTGCAGCAGCAGCAACCACCACTAGCTCAGTGCAGCAGCAGCAGCAGTAACCACCACTAGCTCAGTGCAACAGCAGCAGTAACCACCACTAGCTCTGTGCAGCAGCAGCAGTAACCACCACTAGCTCAGTGCAGCAGCAGCAGTAACCACCACTAGCTCAGTGCAGCAGCAGCAGTAACCACCACTAACTCTGTGCAGCAGCAGCAGCAGTAACCACCACTAGCTCAGAGCAGCAGCAGCAGTAACCACCACTAGCTCAGTGCAGCAGCAGCAGTAACCACCACTAGCACAGAGCAGCAGCAGCAGTAACCACCACTAGCTCATTGCAGCAGCTGCAGTAACCACCACTAGCTCATTGCAGCAGCAGCAGTAACCACCACTAGCTCATTGCAGCAGCTGCAGTAACCACCACTAGCTCAGAGCAGCAGCAGCAGTAACCACGACTAGCTCATTGCAGCAGCTGCAGTAACCACCACTAGCTCAGAGCAGCAGCAGCAGTAACCACCACTAGCTCAGTGCAGCAGCAGCAGTAACCACCACTAGCTCAGTGCAGCAGCAGCAGTAACCGCCACTAGCTCAGTGCAGCAGCAGCAGTAACCACCACTAGCTCAGTGCAGCAGCAGCAGTAACCACCACTAGCTCAGAGCAGCAGCAGCAGTAACCACCACTAGCTCAGTGCAGCAGCAGCAGTAACCACCCCTAGCTCAGTGCAGCAGCAGCAGTAACCACCACTAGCTCAGTGCAGCAGCAGCAGTAACCACCACTAGCTCAGACCAGCAGCAGTAACCACCACTAGCTCAGAGCAGCAGCAGCAGTAACCACCACTAGCTCAGAGCAGCAGCAGCAGTAACCACCACTAGCTCAGAGCAGCAGCAGCAGTAACCACCACTAGCTCAGAACAGCAGCAGCAGTAACCACCACTAGCTCAGAGCAGCAGCAGCAGTAACCACCACTAGCTCAGAGCAGCAGCAGCAGTAACCACCACTAGCTCAGAGCAGCAGCAGCAGTAACCACCACTAGCTCAGTGCAGCAGCAGCAGTAACCACCACTAGCTCAGAGCAGCAGCAGCAGTAACCACCACTAGCTCAGTGCAGCAGCAGCAGTAACCACCACTAGCTCAGTGCAGCAGCAGCAGCAACCACCACTAGCTCAGTGCAACTGCAGCAGCAGTAACCACCACTAGCTCAGTGCAACTGCAGCAGCAGTAACCACCACTAGCTCTGTACAGCAGCAGCAGCAACCACCACTAGCTCAGTGCAACTGCAGCAGCAGTAACCACCACTAGCTCAGTGCAGCAGCAGCAGCAGTAACCACAACTAGCTCAGTGCAGCAGCAGCAGCAGTAACCACCACTAGCTCAGTGCAGCAGCAGCAGTAACCACCACTAGCTCAGAGCAGCAGCAGCAGCAACCACCACTAGCTCAGTGCAGCAGCAGCAGCAACCACCACTAGCTCAGTGCAACTGCAGCAGCAGTAACCACCACTAGCTCAGTGCAACTGCAGCAGCAGTAACCACCACTAGCTCTGTACAGCAGCAGCAGCAACCACCACTAGCTCAGTGCAACTGCAGCAGCAGTAACCACCACTAGCTCAGTGCAGCAGCAGCAGTAACCACCACTAGCTCTGTGCAGCAGCAGCAGCAATCACAACTAGCTCAGTGCAGCAGCAGCAGCAGTAACCACCACTAGCTCAGTGCAGCAGCAGCAGTAACCACCACTAGCTCAGAGCAGCAGCAGCAGTAACCACCACTTGCTCAGAGCAGCAGCAGCAACCACCACTTGCTCAGAGCAGCAGCAGCAGTAACCACCACTAGCTCAGAGCAGCAGCAGCAGTAACCACCACTAGCTCAGAGCAGCAGCAGCAGTAACCACCACTAGCTCAGAGCAGCAGCAACAGTAACCACCACTAGCTCAGAGCAGCAGCAACAGTAACCACCACTAGCTCAGAGCAGCAGCAACAGTAACCACCACTAGCTCAGAGCAGCAGCAACAGTAACCACCACTAGCTCAGAGCAGCAGCAGCAGTAACCACCACTAGCTCAGAGCAGCAGCAGCAGTAACCACCACTAGCTCAGTGCAGCAGCAGCAGTAACCACCACTAGCTCAGAGCAGCAGCAGCAACCACCACTAGCTCAGTGCAGCAGCAACAGTAACCACCACTAGCTCAGTGCAGCAGCAGCAGCAACCACCACTAGCTCAGAGCAGCAGCAGCAGTAACCACCACTAGCTCAGTGCAGCAGCAGCAGTAACCACCCCTAGCTCAGTGCAGCAGCAGCAGTAACCACCACTAGCTCAGTGCAGCAGCAGCAGTAACCACCACTAGCTCAGACCAGCAGCAGTAACCACCACTAGCTCAGAGCAGCAGCAGCAGTAACCACCACTAGCTCAGAGCAGCAGCAGCAGTAACCACCACTAGCTCAGAGCAGCAGCAGCAGTAACCACCACTAGCTCAGTGCAGCAGCAGCAGTAACCACCACTAGCTCAGACCAGCAGCAGTAACCACCACTAGCTCAGAGCAGCAGCAGCAGTAACCACCACTAGCTCAGAGCAGCAGCAGTAACCACCACTTGCTCAGAACAGCAGCAGCAGTAACCACCACTAGCTCAGAGCAGCAGCAGCAGTAACCACCACTAGCTCAGTGCAGCAGCAGCAGTAACCACCACTAGCTCAGAGCAGCAGCAGCAGTAACCACCACTAGCTCAGAGCAGCAGCAGCAGTAACCACCACTAGCTCAGAGCAGCAGCAGCAGTAACCACCACTAGCTCAGAGCAGCAGCAGCAGTAACCACCACTAGCTCAGTGCAGCAGCAGCAGTAACCACCACTAGCTCAGTGCAGCAGCAGCAGCAACGACCACTAGCTCAGTGCAGCAGCAGCAGCAACCACCACTAGCTCAGTGCAACTGCAGCAGCAGTAACCACCACTAGCTCAGTGCAACTGCAGCAGCAGTAACCACCACTAGCTCTGTACAGCAGCAGCAGCAACCACCACTAGCTCAGTGCAACTGCAGCAGCAGTAACCACCACTAGCTCAGTGCAGCAGCAGCAGTAACCACCACTAGCTCTGTGCAGCAGCAGCAGCAACCACAACTAGCTCAGTGCAGCAGCAGCAGCAGTAACCACCACTAGCTCAGTGCAGCAGCAGCAGTAACCACCACTAGCTCAGAGCAGCAGCAGCAGCAACCACCACTAGCTCAGTGCAGCAGCAGCAGCAACCACCACTAGCTCAGTGCAACTGCAGCAGCAGTAACCACCACTAGCTCAGTGCAACTGCAGCAGCAGTAACCACCACTAGCTCTGTACAGCAGCAGCAGCAA